TATATATTATTCTTTAGAAATTATCATTTAAACTATTCCTTTTTACCTTATAGACTTGTGCAAACCTAAGGACCCCAGTCTGTTATTTATTATCGTTTAGAAATTATCATTTACACTATTTATTTTTGCCTTAGAGACTTGTGCAAACCTAAGGACCCCAGTCTGTTATTTATTATCGTTTAGAAATTATCATTTACACTATTCATTTTGCCTTAGAGACTTGTGCAAACCTTCTGTTATTTATTATCGTTTAGAAATTATCATTTACCCTGTATTAACTAACTAACTGAATTTACTAGTATATGGCAATAAAAGAACTCACTTTTTATCACTGAGCTTGATGAAGAACAGTTTAAGGAAAAACGAGTTGGATTCGAACCCACGACGTGCTGACGACGTGCTCCGCTTTGGTATCGTGGAACAAAGTGTGCTGAATAACATTGTCACAAACATGGAGTGAAACGTTCATGTTCAAACGTTCATAACTTTTGATAAAACTTTCTTTCCTATTTCAAAACAACTCAAATACATATGTAGTATGTCAATTATGCATCTGTGAGATGACTGTCATTTTGTCTAGTTATCTGAGAAAAAGATTAGCATTCCTGTTTTTTTTAGTTTATGTATCAAAATATTTATTCATATATCCACCACGTAATAAATTTCAGCTGATGCTGAAAAATCCAACTGCAAGTCTTGGTCCACACGACCTCCGTGCAATGATATAACCGGGTAAAATACCCCGATAATGCCAAGTTCCAAGTCAAATTATGTACTTTTCAAAACACAACTGTCGGGCGACACCGCGGTCATTATAGAGGCGCTTCACTCAATAAAATAAACTCATGGCTGTGTGTATTTTTTATGTCACCATGACTTTATGTCGTTATTTTATGTACAAAATGCATCCCCATAGCGGGAAATAGATGTCACACTAAACACACACGCGCACGGTGCACGCACACACACACACACATTTAACACGTGCAACCCACACATTTTATGACTGTGTGACGGGTCATGTACATGTATATTCCCATGCTGGTGACACCGGGCATGTACGTCACATGTCAGTCCCACCATGGCTTTATGCAGTTTGTAGGGGTGGCCGTGTATGTGTTGTTGGTTCCACGTAGCTTACGATATACGTCAGATGTACGTCAGTCTCTGCTGTGGACAAATGCGAGTTGTCCTCTCACCCGGTCCAATGTAGTATGTATGTCTTACCATGATTTTATATAATGTGTCGGCCTCACCACGGATGTATGCAGTGTGTATGTCTTACCATGATTATATACAATGTGTCGCCCTCATCACGGATGTATGCAGTGTGTATGTCTTACCATGATTATATACAATGTGTCGCCCTCATCACGGATGTATGCAGTATGTATGTCTTACCATGATTATATACAATGTGTCGCCCTCATCACGGATGTATGCAGTATGTATGTCTTACCATGATTATATACAATGTGTGGCCCTCATTATCACGGATGTATGCAGTGTGTATGTCTTACCATGATTATATACAATGTGTCGCCCTCATCACGGATGTATGCAGTATGTATGTCTTACCATGATTATATACAATGTGGTCCCTCATCACGGATGTATGCAGTATGTATGTCTTACCATGATTATATACAATGTGTCGCCCTTATCACGGATGTATGCGGTGTGTATGTCTTACCATGATTATATACAATGTGTCGCCCTCATCACGGATGTATGCAGTATCTATATGTCTTACCATGATTATATACAATGTGTCGCCCTCATCACGGATGTATGCATGTATGTCTTACATGATTATATGTCTTACCCTCATCACGGATGATTATGATTATATACAATGTGTCGCCCTCATCACGGATGTATGCAGTATGTATGTCAGTATTATATACAATGTGTCGCCCTCATGTCTTACCATGATTATATACAATGTGTCGCCCCTCATCACGGATGTATGCAGTATCTATGTCTTACCGTGATTATATACAATGTGTCGCCCTCACCACGGATGTATGCAGTATGTATGTCTTACCATGATTATATACAATGTGTCGCCCTCATCACGGATGTATTATATACAATGTGTAGCCCCCACCACGGATGTATGTAGTGTGCATGTCTTACCATGATTATATACAATGTGTCGGCCTCATCACGGATGTATGCAGTGTGTATGTCTTACCATGATTATATACAATGTGTCGCCCTCATCACGGATGTATGCAGTATGTATGTCTTACCATGATTATATACAATGTGTCGCCCTCATCACGGATGTATGCAGTATGTATGTCTTACCATGATTATATACAATGTGTCGCCCTCATCACGGATGTATGCAGTATGTATGTCTTACCATGATTATATACAATGTGTCGGCCCGGATCATCACGGATGTATGCAGTATCTATGTCTTACCGTGATTATATACAATGTGTGTGTGTCGCCCTCATCACGGATGTATGCAGTATGTATGTCTTACCATGATTATATACAATGTGTAGCCCTCATCACGGATGTATGCAGTATGTATGTCTTACCATGATTATATACAATGTGTCGCCCTCACACGGATGTATGCAGTATGTATGTCTTACCATGATTATATACAATGTGTCGCCCTCATCACGGATGTATGCAGTATGTATGTCTTACCATGATTATATACAATGTGTCGCCCTCATCACGGATGTATGTATGTATGTCTTACCATGATTATATATTAATGTGTCGCCCCTCATCACGGATGTATGCAGTATGTATGTCTTACCATGATTATATACAATGTGTCGCCCTCATCACGGATGTATGCAGTATGTATGTCTTACCATGATTATATACAATGTGTCGCCCTCATCACGGATGTATGCCCTCATGATTATATACAATGTGTCACGGATGTATGCATGTCTTACCATGATTATATACAATGTGTCGCCCTCATCACGGATGTATGCAGTATGTATGTCTTACCATGATTATATACAATGTGTAGCCCTCATCTTACCATGATTATATACAATGTGTCGCCCTCATCACGTGTGCAGTATGTATGTCTTACCATGATTATATACAATGTGTCGCCCTCATCACGGATGTATGCAGTATGTATGTCTTACCATGATTATATACAATGTGTCGCCCTCATCACGGATGTATGCAGTATGTATGTCTTACCATGATTATATACAATGTGTCGCCCTCATCACGGATGTATGCAGTATGTATGTCTTACCATGATTATATACAATGTGTCGCCCTCATCACGGATGTATGCAGTATGTATGTCTTACCATGATTATATACAATGTGTCGCCCTCATCACGGATGTATGCAGTATGTATGTCTTACCATGATTATATACAATGTGTATGTCTTACCCTCATCACGGATGTATGCAGTATGTATGTCTTACCATGATTATATACAATGTGTCGCATGATTATATATGTATGTGTCGCCCTCATCACGGATGTGTGTAGTACGTATGTCTTACCATGATTATATACAATGTGTCCACGGTATCACCACAATGGATGTATGCAGTATGTATGTCTTACCATGATTATATACAATGTGTCGCCCTCATCACGGATGTGTATGTAGTATACCATGATTATATACAATGTGTCCCCTCATCACGGATGTATGCAGTATGTATGTCTTACCATGATTATATACAATGTGTCGCCCTCATCACGGATGTATGCAGTATGTATGTCTTACCATGATTATATACAATGTGTCGTATGTCCTCACCACGGATGTATGCAGTATGTATGTCTTACCATGATTATATACAATGTGTCGCCCTCATCACGGATGTATGTATGCATATACAATGTGTATGTATGTCTTACCATGATTATATACAATGTGTCGCCCTCATCACGGATGTATGCAGTATGTATGTCTTACCATGATTATATACAATGTGTCGGCCTCATCACGGATGTATGCAGTATGTATGTCTTACCATGATTATATACAATGTGTCGCCCTCATCACGGATGTATGCAGTATGTATGTCTTACCATGATTATATACAATGTGTCGCCCTCATCACGGATGTATGCAGTATGTATGTCTTACCATGATTATATACAATGTGTCGCCCTCATCACGGATGTATGCAGTATGTATGTCTTACCATGATTATATACAATGTGTTATATACAATGTGTGCCCTCATCACGGATGTGTATAGCAGTATGTATGTCTTACCATGATTATATACAATGTTATATACAATGGCCCTCATCACGGACGGATGTATGCAGTACGTATGTCTTACCATGATTATATACAATGTGTCGCCCTCATCACGGATGTATGGTATGTGTGTATGTCTTACCATGATTATATACAATGTGTGGTCCCTCATCACGGAGCTGTTACGTATGTCTTACCATGATTATATACAATGTACAATGTCGCCCTCACCACGGATGTATGCAGTATGTATGTCTTACCATGATTATATACAATGTGTCGCCCTCATCACGGATGTGTGTAGTACGTATGTCTTACCATGATTATATACAATGTGTCGCCCTCATCACGGATGTATGCAGTACAACGTATGTCTTACCATGACCATTATTCGCCCTATATAATAATATGTTTATGTCAATATGCAGTCAATATCCAGTATCATCACGAATATGTCCGAAACGAAGGTTTCACGAAGAGGCTTTGAATAAGATTCTTTGCTACGGTGATTGGCCATCCTGTGCCTGCACGTGTTATCAATTTAATACACTGTGTCCATTGGTGACTCTTATGTTTTGCCACCTAATCCACAGCTGTGTTAATTGGGCATCCGTTATCTGCATCTACTGCTATCTTCTCTAGAGCAGATAGGAATGAGCCCATCGTGCCTGCATTTAGTACTTCCTGGTCTATTGCAATGTGGGTTGATATTATGTCACCTTCATCACTGCTACTTTTAGATCATAGTCACCGTAAACGTAAAGAGGCACATACTCGATATAAAACATATTTATTGATTGTCAATAGGAATGGTTAGAAAGAAAATATCTTTCCCACCGAAGCCAGAATCAAGCATCACATGGACTGTAACAATTTACGAGACAACACACAACAGATGTCTGCACAGGGAGAGTCCTTCTATCACAATCATCTGCATACAGGTGCGCTCTCTGAAACATCGTCCCAGCAACAGCAATAGGCGATTGTGGCTTGGATCATAACTGCACTGAAGACCCGACGCACTATGTGTCTACTTCCTGACCACCCACAGCTCGTTGTACCTCTGCTTCGTCTGTAGAGGGCTACTGTAAGTGGCAAGGTAGAAGTGGCTGTTGTCGTATAAACGAGCATCGCCGATGGCAGCTGTCAACTGTGTCCGTGTCTTCTTCACTCCATACTTTGAAGTGTATCCTCCGAATGACCTGATGCAGGAATAGAACACTCTCAGTTTAATCATAGACCTAGTCTGCTTCTGTATTAGAGGACCAGCTTGCGATATTGATTGCAGTGCTTTAAATCTCTGTATCTGGCAATGCTGATTCTATTGTACTGTTACTGCATTCGGCGGTAATATATATTTTGTACATCACTTTCAACAAGGTATTTTTAACCCAAACATATGCATTTCCTTAAGCTCTTTTACTGTTTTTCGCCTTGAACAGAAAGCAGCGATAGGACTCCTCGACACAGGGATCTGAGCGTGTTCTAAAATGTACGTTTTATAACGGCCCATACCTAAACACAAGCCTGTGATAATTGTGATTCTGAGACGACTGAATTGTGCACGAGCCCACTCGCAATAAAAGTGTTACAATATCAATATATTAAATGGATTTTTTGTTCAGTTGATTGTTATATGCAACTCACGTGCTGTATACATAGGTGACTGGAGTCGACACAACCTTGACCTTGGGGTCAGAGGGTGTTGGTGGAGCCGATTGGCTGGCCAGAGGGATATACATGTACATGCTCATTTCGGTCGTGACGTCAGATCCGGGTTCACGAACAACCTTCGTCAGGAAGGGCAGTGTAATGTTCAATGGTTTGTCTGAAAACATTGCATATGGTCATTGTCAAGACATAAATGAGTGAGTGAGTGAGTAAATGAGTGACAATAAGTGTATGGTGTTCGAACAGTCGAGGTCACTGCTCGGTAAAACGAAGTGTGAGTTTGTCTAGGTTTTTCTGAAATCCTTTACCGTCCCATGTTTCACCGTTAAATCATTCTGAGGTAAGGAAACGATACTTCACGACAAAACAACCAAACAAACCAACTGCTTCTATTCATCGTGCTGAATTATCATCCCAACCTTATCTTCCAACTCCACCCAAACTTAACTCAGTGTGAAGATCCGTTTACTCGGTAATCTTCGGCTTGTTCTCCTGGCACACAACATACACCAGTACAACCCGCAGGTCAAAACCATGACCATCACCTTCCCATTTGAGTAGATTCTACATATTGGGTTAAATAGCACGATTGTGTTGTCCTACCACGGCCCGTCACATCTGGTATGTTTCAGCAAAACATACGCAGCCACCTACTCTGTGTATTCAGTCCGCTCAGATAGGACAGCAGCCTGTTGAACATCTGCAAGCGAGACGCTTCAAGGTTTTTGACGTCGCCGGAAGTGGTAATCCATTTCTGGCTGTCATACACTCGCTCTTCGTGTGTCTGTAACACATTCAAATAAACCTCAGTACCTTCAAGGATTTTACATTTGTAAAAGGAAATAATGACATTGTAAATATTTTAGTAATGACACCAGGAGTTGGCGAACGTTGAAATGCCTTGTTCACAAGGATATCAGAAGAATTGTTCACCGTCGTCTTGTTTGTGACACACATGTAGGTTTAATGAGAGGATAGGTGATCATCTGATGAGATACATGATACAGGTAGGTCTTTGAAAGGGACAAGACGTAGTCCTGGAATACCGAGTCAAACAAGTGACAACCCAAACAGGTACTCGGGGCAATGTGACATTCGAACCCAGACACCCAACTCTGCAAAGCGAGTTTCAACGCTTTGGATGACTAGACCCCTTTTGCACGTGTCAAACAATACGGAAGTTGTTCGATGAAAGGGTTTTACATATTCTGTTCAGATTGGATCTGATGGATCAAAGAATTAATTATATTCACTGTTAATCAACACTGTATCGTGTTTTCTATGATATATACTCACACTGCGTTGAGCAATTTTGCCGTACGATGGGCAGTCAAAATAATAGCACATGACCGTCATGTTCTGCGCATGCGCAGAGGCTAGAGATAAAACAACCAACAGACCCAGCTGCAACACAATATTTGACGTCATCATTCAGAAGAAGGAGTACACCTGGAAACAGAAAAAAGGTGAGATTGAGAGCAATGTAATTCTTTTGATGTCGAATTAATGAGAGTGAATTTGGTCGATAAAACCCTCCTGACCAGGTCACCCGCGTCCCTTTGATTAGATGACTATTATAATCATGCAGCTGGGTATTTGAAATCGGAGTTGTGGGGTAAGGGACCGTTCATAATTTATGGCTAGAGGGGGTGATGATGATTTTAATGGAGAAGCATGTACAATGTGAATATGTGAATGACCCTCCCTAAAATTTATGTACAAAATAAGTGACACTTCCACACATGTCATGTACCAAATCGATGACCCCCCCATAATTTCTAAGCATAATTTATAAATATATTTATATGTACATAATTGCTGACCCCCCTAGTACGTGTGTACAAAATTGCTGACCACTGCTAGCTCCCCAGAACAAAACGGGTGACCCCCTTAAAATCATGGGATAATGGGAATGGGATAATAAACTCATACCTAACATCTACAACGTAACATTAAGGGTTTTTGGCATGATGAAATGTCGCACGCATCCTGTCGTGTCACCAACAAATGTGTTGGGTGGGGGCGAGTTGTTGATGAGGAGAAATATATTACACTGGCGTGATGGCATTTTTAACTTTACAACCAACTTTGAAGTCTTAGTCAGAATTAACTTGTGTACACGTCAGCCCTATTACTCAGATCAGATATTATATATTTACCAAAGTTTCAGAATAAATGTTTGTTGTCTTATGACATTTCAGGTTCCCCGACATCAGCGCGTCCAGCCAGCTTGAACCCCAAAGGGAACCACGCAGTGTGTACAAACGTGCAGTGCGTACAACCATGCAGTGTGTACAACCATGCAGTGTGTACAACCACGCAGTGTGTACAACCATGCAGTGTGTACAACCACGCAGTGTGTACAACCACGCAGTGCGTACAACCCTTGCAGTCTGTACAACCATGCAGTGTGTACAACCACGCAGTGTGTACAACCACGCAGTGTGTACAACCACGCAGTGTGTACAACCAGGCAGGGTGTACAACCATACAAGGGACAGCATGCCTTTTGAGAACACCTCGTGTTATCACTTTTTGGTACTAGTAATTCATAAACACAAGCTCATGACGTTGTCGAAATCGTACAATTACTTTGATTGTGGAATGAATTGTGTCCCTCTCCTTCATTTATTATTCAACACATTTACTCATATATATAACGTTATAACTCCTGACGATTGTATAATAGCAGGTATTGCATATATCAGAAATGACAACTCACAAACCTGAAGTGATCTATCTCAGTGAGCGACGTGTGGTGAAACAGGTTTGGAGGAGCTTCATCAGCAGAGATGGTAAGTGGATGCTGATGTCACTACGTGGATAACGTTACGTTACGCTACATCGTGTGACACAACAGGCAGTCAACAACAATAGATGGGCCATGTCCTGTACGTCCGAATACAAGCGCTGTGACTGATGACGTACAAGAAGACCTATGTCTGTCTCACCAGTGCCCACATGCTATCATGGCGACTGGTAATACCACTTTAGTTTTCATATGATTTATCGTTCTGTAATTCTTAATTATTTCGTGACATGTACAAACTGAAAGTGTTACTGTGTGGGTTGCTGGTGCGACACATTGTCAAATCATCACACAGATGGTAGACTAACAAGTACTTCCAGAAATAGAGTTGTTTCATTAAAACATATGTGTTTACAAAATAGAAACACAAACCAGATACCAGAACGATGGTTAAGCTTCATCCATATTCTAGACAAGACACTATAGACATACCAATACTGAGGGTGCACAGGGTGTGGTCGCCATGTCTCTTGAAATACTCAAAAGTATAGTGTACGCGACATGTCTCTGTCACCGAATTTGTGTGAAAACATACCAGGACCATTTAGAATAGCAGTGGTAACGGTACCTACATGATTCTCTCGTGATGCATGTGCATGATGTGTATAGAATCTCATAGGTGTCTCGCTACTGCTGTCACCATCCATCGTTTAATTATGCTTGTGTTTCTACATGCCGCGTAGAACTTCCAATTTGTGGTCTTCAGACAGAGAGAGGAGAGTCCACATGCACACACAAGCTGTATGTCAGTCAACATCTGTTTCATAACTGATATTCTGATTCACACATACCATCGAACAAAGTTGGAATCGTCTTTCGTTGGAGTGTGGGTGTTTAGTCAGATTAGATTTTTGTACACTGCACAGCCAGTACATTCATGGCGAATATTGTACACATTGCTATGGAGTGAACGCAGTATTAACGCGTCTTTTAGCAACATTACAAAATACCACCAGGGCGTCTCTTCAATCGAAGTTTACTTTTTGCATCCATGTGAAGAATCAAACTCAGGCTTTAACCACTAGACTACCGAACTGGCGTTGACATAGGATTGCATTCACTACAGCTGCACCTCGCTCTTCTTAATCCTTGACGCAATGTTTATATGAAATATAACTTGATAAACCAATGTAAATAGAAAACAAAGTATTTCAACCGAACTACCATCAACGTACGGTTTAACTTGCTATAACCTATGTATAATATATGTATGGACTTACCAGGGTCGGGTGGTGCTCGGGCTGTAGAACAAGGACTCTGGAAGAAAGTCGAAGTTCATGCCATATATGTACGTGTCGTCACGTGATCAGACGCCATTGCAGTTCACCGAGTCATGTGACATGAATGATTGACGACGTTGTGGGTCAGTGGTGGAGGTTATGATAATCATTAACGTCAGTGCTATTTTTCATGCCACATTACGCTTGTGTAACATCTGATTCATAGCATGTCTGGCCAAACATCTGGAGTGAAAACACATAAACAACAGTTGAAACCAACTCGAAGGGACCACTAAGTTTAGTTCGTTAAGACCGTAGTTCGTTATAACCGTAGTTCGTTAAGACCGTAGTTCGTTATAACCGTAGTTCGTTATACACAGACTAAAATATGCAGCAAGTGGTCATGACCATTAAAACAGTTCGTTATATCCGTCAGTTCGTCATAGGCGTGTTCGTTCTAAACATAGTTAAACTGAAATATATATCTAATTAAACTGAAATTCAAATATACACAACCATGTTTTTATCTCGGTGTAAATTTCATTCATTCCTGAATATGTATTGCGTTTAATTATCCAGCGGCAGTGTGTTTACTCAATCTTTGCCTAGCGATTAACAAGTATTCCCAGATAAAGTATTGTCTTAATATCAAGTTTGAAAATGGGAAAATAATTTAAATTGAATTGAATGGTAATCGTAATTGAATATATGGCACTGACATGATATTTTGTTTCTTGAGGAATACAAAAAAGCGAAGTATATTACCTTATTAAGGGGTAAGAATATACTTCAATACGGCGTGTTTATCATTATACAGGAGTTGACTTCCATAGATGTTTCCCCCTTAAGTGTTTCACGTCTAATTGCCATTCGATGATTTTATAATTTGGCCACACACACACACACACACGCGCACGCACGCACGCACACGCACACACACACACACACACTGTGTACCTACATACTACATGTCAAACAGGAGCAGCAAATGTTGATTGGCGTGCTTGTTTAATGGCCAAGACGACACAACATGAAGGAAATACAGTACCATTATAGATTTTAAAACACTATAACTCATCATGTTTGATATGAGAAGGTGCTTCATAGGTGCACATCGTGACGCTCGCCTTACTTGTGACGACGGAGAGGTCAGGAACAAGAACCTCTTGACCTTTTAACTGTCATTGGCATTGTCATATTTGACACGAACAAAACCCATTACATTTATGCTCGTGACAATATCACCAACGATGTAGGTTATGATCAAGGCTAGTATCAAGGCTACTATTCAACAGAAGGATGCCTGACGAACGTTGCCGTAAACCAGGTCGGACATTAAAGATCTCTTCGTAATTATGCATTGTATTCTTTCCTTAACTGGGAATATCAGTCAATTATATACTGAATGTTTATCCTAATTATAGTAGTTTGATATGTGTAAGATGTGGGTGCCTTTTCAGTAATCCGTTTAAACATTTCTTTCGAAATTGTTTTCTCAATTAATCGAGACTGATAACACTCTGGCGTTGACGCTTTATGTTTTGTCAGAACCCACCCTAACGTGGGAACAGCTGTACATGTTTACCGCGTGTATGGTGCAGGCAGAACCCAACCTAACGTGGGAACAGCTGTATGTGTTTACCACGTGTATGGTGCCGGCAGAACCCAACCTAACGTGGGGACAGCTGTATGTGTTTACCACGTGTATGGTGCCCACAGAACCCAACCTAACGTGGGGACAGCTGTATGTGTTTACCACGTGTATGGTGCCCACAGAACCCAACCTAACGTGGGGACAGCTGTATGTGTTTACCAGGTGTATGGTGCCATCAGAACCCAACCTAACGTGGGAACAGCTGTATGTGTTTACCACGTGTATGGTGCCGGCTGAACCAGGATCTCTCTTAGGTTGAGTTTGATGCGTACTTTGACCCTTTCCTCTGATTGCGCAGAGACCAGTCCTGAACACGAGAAACCAGTCAAATGTATCAAGCTGCGTCTGATGAAGATGAAAACGTATTTTGTGAAAGGAACTCTCTTGGAAAAAGGGAAAGGATCCTTAATAACTAGATCTTTATAATGTCACGGCGTTTGTATATATTTCACCAACAGAGAACCCAAATATATGTGACTGTTAGCAGATTTGCTTAAATATTTGTGAATGTACCAATTAATTCACAGGTTTTCATACGTACTCCCCAAAGAGCTTGTGACAAATCGACGTTCTGACCGAATTATCTGTATGATGGTGTTTCAGTTTCATCTTGTCGTAGTAAAACAGAACCACAACAACCAAATATGTATAATCGTTCGCAATTTGAGGCGGCGTTAGATGAACAAGTGTTATAATCAGTGCTGTAATGTCATTGTGACATTGGTGGCGTCAATGTGCAGCGTCAGTGTCTCGTAGAACAATCTATGGCCTAACGTGCTAGTAATTGAATGATCACCAGTAACTTGTGCCAATTCTGTGAAGACAACTGGTTCATCAACAGGGGTAACTTCAGCGGTATTTCATAACGACGTAAAAGAAACTAACCGCGGTGAAATGCCAGATGATACATGATGACTTTATACGAACAGATTACACTTTCTTAGTAAAGTACAGATTCTAGTACTTTTTGGGATTGACTTCAATTCGGGATTCGAACCCACACCCTCAGAGTCAGGCACCTAATCACCAGCACACAAAGTCAGCCACCGCGGAAGCCGGATGGGACTCAACCCAAAAGAGTACTAGAATCACTTCTACTAAGTAATACTTCACTAAGAAACGGTAATCCCAAATATAACATATGTTACATTTGACCACTTTCTAAAATGGCACTGTGTATTTCATGACTTTATACTAGGACTAAACGTCACTTGTCCATGAAGTACTAGTCTTCTTTCACAAAGCCTATGTCACAGTTTTGTTGTAAGAGACGGCTGAAACGACGATCCGATGTCAATGTGCTCACGATTTCACCCATTTCATTCCATTGTTTACAGGCTGCCTTGATATAGCTATTATACTACTGGTGAAACGCGCTATATTCACAGTGCTGATATTATCGTTTTGGACGCGTCTCTGACGTGAATGTCTGTTTTGTTGTATCCATACAACAATGGATCAAAATCTATCACTTGGAAATGGATACTATTCAGATTCTTTGAATGCAGGCAGCAACTTTTTGATGGCATGAGTTAAATCTTCCATCGCTTCAGTGCTTAACTTCCGACATTGCGAGCAACACACATCCTTACATTCCCGACATTCGTGCCTTGCATGGCGGTGACTGAACTCGTTACATTTGCGGTTGATGATAGTTTGGAAGTCTTCCTGGAGATTCCCGGAAGCGGTCATGCAGCTTTCCAGCATCGGTCTGACAAGGCCCTCCACCAACACCAACCGCCGCTTAAAGAACTCGAGAGCAGTCTTGTCGTTAAGATCTTTGAATTCCTCCAGGTGTTGGAGCCCATTGTTGTCACTGTATTCTACGTAGACAGCCTGATCAAGGCATTCCCTCAGCACATCATCAAAGCCATACTTGTCTGCTATATTCATGAAATGTACCAACTTAGACCTGGGTAAAGTTTTCACGTTCAGTTTCAGGTACGTTGTGACAAACGTACGACAGCGTACTTTAAGCGACGTAATATCGTATTCCTCCGCCAGTGGAAGTAGTACGTCGATATTGTCATCTGTGAGCGGGTTGAAGATTGAGGGGTAGATGCATCGAAGCAGCTCTGTCATGTCAGCGTATGTCTTCCCGGGTAGGGGCACTTCTGATAACGTTTTTTCTTTGAATTCTCCAAAGAACATTCTTTCGAAGACTGGAGATGCAAGTGAAAGTACAGTTTTGTTCACATGTAGCTTTTTACCCTCGACTACCAGCGCCACATCGCTTGTAAGGGATGGCTCGGAAAACGTGATCTCTGAATTCTCCATGTTCACTTCTGTAACGAGAAGTTTTATATTAGCATTTATAACTAAACTCATGTACAAAAGAAAGTACACACCTGGTGCTTTGGGAATATTTCCCCCAACACGAAATAAATAGTGTGGAAAGTGTTTAGATAGAGGCATACAAGTCACAAACATTGTGTATCTGTTGATAAAACAAAACATATCCTTTACAGTGATGTGAGTGGAATTTCATGGAAATCGTTATTTTGTGGATTCACACCTGTATGCTATGCACCCTATTTTGAAGAACCAGTCGGTTGAAATTGTTAGTGGTATGCCTGTTGAAGGGAGCGTAGCAAGAACGAGACCTTGGAATGTCGCAGATGTCGAACAGCCACATTATCATAACGTGCAAAGCTGTACAAAGCAGACTATCATCATATTGACGAGACTTGTCAACCACACTGGCCAGACATCTGATAGTCCGAGAGTGACCATCCCGCAAGATGACCGTCAGTTGCGCAGTTTCCATCTACTCAGCCGGATGTTCACAGTGACGCTACAACAGGAACACAGTGATGAGACGACTGCACGCTGTGGACATCCGTGTCTATCGGCATGTCATGAAACCGTCAACAGCGACCGAATCGTCTATGCTGGACTCAGAACATGAGTTGCTGATGGTGCATTTGCTAACAATGTCTGTGGTGTTTCGGCAACACGTACACAGTGTTGTACAGATGCTTGATATATCTGGCCCCGCAACACCAATGTTTGATGTGTCTACAGCCGTACGCGTAACAGCAGTCTTTCATATGTCTCCTGTCGTAACAACAGTGTTTGATATGTCTCCTGTCGTAACAACAGTGTTTGATATGTCTCCTGTCGTATCAACAGTGTTTGATATCTCTCCTGTCGTAACAACAGTGTTTGATATGTCTCCTGTCGTAACAACAGTGTTTGATATGTCTCCTGTCGTAACAACAGTATTTGATACCTCTCCCGCCGTAACAACAGTGTTTGATGTGTCTCCTGTCGTAACAACAGTGTTTGATATGTCTCCTCTCGTAACAACAGTGTTTGATGTGTCTCCTCCGTAACAACAGTGTTTGATATGTCTCCTGTCATAACATCAGTGTTTGATATGTCTCCTGTCGTAACAACGGTGTTTGATGTGTCTCCTCCTCGTAACTAACAGTGTTTGATGTCTCCAGCAGTGTTTGATATGTCTCCTCCGTAACAACAGTGTTTGATCTCTCTCCTATCGTAACTACAGTGTTTGATATCTCTCCTGTCGTAACAACAGTGTTTGATCTGTCTCCTGTCATAACAACAGTCTTTGATATATCTCCTGTAGTAACAACAGTATTTGATATGTCTCCTCTCGTAACAACAGTGTTTGATGTGTCTCCTCTCGTAACAACAGTGTTTCATATGTCTCCTGTCATAATATCACTGTTTGATATGTCTCCTGTCGTAACAACAGTGTTTCATATGTCTCCTGTAGTAACAACAGTGTTTGATGTGTCTCCTCTCGTAACAACAGTGTTTGTATGTCTCCTGTCGTAACAACATTGTTTGATGTGTCTACCGCCGCAACAAGAGTGTTTCCTATGTCCCCTGTCGTAACAATAGTGTTTGATGTGTCTACGGCCGTAACAACAGTATTTGATCTGTCTATTGCCGTAACAACAGTGTTTGATATGTTTAGCGCCATAACAACGGTGTTTGATACGTCTACCGCCGTAACGACGGTGTTTCATTATGATATGTCTACCGCCGTAACTACAGTGTTTGATATCTCTACCGCCGTAACAACAGTGTTTGATATCTCTAGCGCCGTAACAACAGTGTTTGATATGTCTACCGCCGTAACAACAGTGTTTGATATCTCTACCGCCGTAACAACAGTGTTTGATATGTCTACCGCCGTAACAACAGTGTTTGGTATGTCTACCGCTATAAGAACAGTATTTGATACGTCTACCACCGTAACAACAGTGTTTGATATGTCTACCGCCGTAACAACAGTGTTTGATACGTCTACCACCGTAAGAACAGTGTTCGATACGTCTACCGCCGTAACAACGGTGTTTGATTATGATATGCCTACCGACGTAACAATTGTTTTGATATGTCTGGCGCCCTTAACAACAGTGTTTCATATGTCTACCGCCGTAACAACAGTGTTTGATTTTGATATGTCTACAGCCGAAACAATTGTTTGATATCTCTGGCGCTGTAACAACAGTGTTTGATACGTCTACCGCCATATCAACTGTTTTATATGTCTACCGCTGTAACAACAGGGTTTGATACGTCTACCGCTGTAACAACACTGTTTGATACGTCTAGCGCTGTAACAACGGTGTTTGATACGTCTACCGCCATATCAACTGTTTGATACGTCTACTGCTGTAACAACAGTGTTTGATATGTCTACCGCTGTAACAACACTGTTTGATATGTTTAGCGCTGTAACAACGGTGTTTGATACGTCTACCGCCATATCAACTGTTTGATACGTCTACCGCTGTAACAACAGTGTTTGATATGTCTACCGCTGTAACAACACTGTTTGATACGTCTAGCGCTGTAACAACGGTGTTTGATACGTCTACAGCCGTAACAACTGTTTGATATGTCTACCGCTGTAACAACTGTTTGATATGTCTACCGCTGTAACAACACTGTTTGATACGTCTAGCGCTGTAACAACGGTGTTTGATACGTCTACCGCCATATCAACTGTTTGATATGTCTACCGCTACAACACCAGTGTTTGATACGTCTACCGCTGTAACAACATTGTTTGATATGTCTACCGCCGTACCAACGGTGTTTGATATGTCTACCGCCGTAACAACACTGTTTTATACGTCTACCGCTGTAACAACAGTGTTTGATACGTCTACCGCTGTAACAACAGTGTTTGATACGTCTACCGCTGTAACAACGGTGTTTGATACGTCTACCGCCATATCAACTGTTTGATACGTCTACCGCTGTAACAACACTGTTTGATACGTCTACCGCCATATCAACTGTTTGATATGTCTACCGCTACAACACCAGTGTTTGATACGTCTACCGCTGTAACAACATTGTTTGATACGTCTACCGCTGTAACAACGGTGTTTGATACGTCTACCGCTGTAACAACTGTTTAATATGTCTACCGCCGTACCAACGGTGTTTGATATGTCTACCGCCGTAACAACAGTGTGTGATACGTCTACCGCTGTAACAACATTGTTTGATACGTCTACCGCTGTAACAACAGTGTTTGATACGTCTACCGCTGTAACAACATTGTTTGATACGTCTACCGCTGTAACAACGGTGTTTGATACGTCTACCGCTGTAACAACTGTTTGATATGTCTACCGCCGTACCAACGGTGTTTGATATGTCTACCTCCGTAACACCAGTGTTTGATATGTCTACCGCTGTAACAACACTGTTTGATACGTCTAGCGCTGTAACAACGGTGTTTGATACGTCTACAGCCGTAACAACTGTTTGATATGTCTACCGCTGTAACAACTGTTTGATATGTCTACCGCTGTAACAACACTGTTTGATACGTCTAGCGCTGTAACAACGGTGTTTGATACGTCTACCGCCATATCAACTGTTTGATATGTCTACCGCTACAACACCAGTGTTTGATACGTCTACCGCTGTAACAACATTGTTTGATATGTCTACCGCCGTACCAACGGTGTTTGATATGTCTACCGCCGTAACAACAGTGTTTGATACGTCTACCGCTGTAACAACAGTGTTTGATACGTCTACCGCTGTAACAACAGTGTTTGATACGTCTACCGCTGTAACAACGGTGTTTGATACGTCTACCGCCATATCAACTGTTTGATATGTCTACCGCTGTAACAACACTGTTTGATACGTCTAGCGCTGTAACAACGGTGTTTGATACGTCTACCGCCATATCAACTGTTTGATATGTCTACCGCTACAACACCAGTGTTTGATACGTCTACCGCTGTAACAACAGTGTTTGATATGTCTACCGCCGTAACAACAGTGTTTGATATGTCTACCGCCGTAACAACGGTGTTTGATACGTCTACCGCTGTAACAACAGTGTTTGATACGTCTACCGCTGTAACAACAGTGTTTGATACGTCTACCGCTGTAACAACAGTGTTTGATACGTCTACCGCCATAACAACTGTTTGATATGTCTACCGCTACAACACCAGTGTTTGATACGTCTACCGCTGTAACAACATTGTTTGATACGTCTACCGCTGTAACAACGGTGTTTGATACGTCTACCGCTGTAACAACTGTTTAATATGTCTACCGCCGTACCAACGGTGTTTGATATGTCTACCGCCGTAACAACAGTGTGTGATACGTCTACCGCTGTAACAACATTGTTTGATACGTCTACCGCTGTAACAACAGTGTTTGATACGTCTACCGCTGTAACAACATTGTTTGATACGTCTACCGCTGTAACAACGGTGTTTGATACGTCTACCGCTGTAACAACTGTTTGATATGTCTACCGCCGTACCAACGGTGTTTGATATGTCTACCTCCGTAACACCAGTGTTTGATACGTCTACCGCTGTAACAACATTGTTTGATACGTCTACCGCTGTAACAACAGTGTTTGATACGTCTACCGCTGTAACAACAGTGTTTGATACGTCTACCGCTGTAACAACAGTGTTTGATACGTCTACCGCTGTAACAACAGTGTTTGATATGTCTACCGCCGTAACACCAGTGTTTGATACGTCTACCGCTGTAACAACATTGTTTGATACGTCTACCGCTGTAACAACAGTGTTTGATACGTCTACCGCTGTAACAACATTGTTTGATACGTCTACCGCTGTAACAACGGTGTTTGATACGTCTACCGGTGTAACAACTGTTTGATATGTCTACCGCCGTACCAACGGTGTTTGATATGTCTACCTCCGTAACACCAGTGTTTGATACGTCTACCGCTGTAACAACTGTTTGATATGTCTACCGCCGTACCAACGGTGTTTGATACGTCTACCGCTGTAACAACTGTTTGATATGTCTACCGCCGTACCAACGGTGTTTGATATGTCTACCTCCGTAACACCAGTGTTTGATACGTCTACCGCTGTAACAACTGTTTGATATGTCTACCGCCGTACCAACGGTGTTTGATATGTCTACCTCCGTAACACCAGTGTTTGATATGTCTACCGCCGTACCAACAGTGTTTGATATGTCTACCGCCGTACCAACAGTGTTTGATATGTCTACCGCCGTACCAACGGTGTTTGATATGTCTACCGCTGTAACAACAGTGTTTGATACGTCTACCGCTGTAACAACTGTTTGATATGTCTACCGCCGTACCAACGGTGTTTGATATGTCTACCTCCGTAACACCAGTGTTTGATACGTCTACCGCTGTAACAACTGTTTGATATGTCTACCGCCGTACCAACGGTGTTTGATATGTCTACCTCCGTAACACCAGTGTTTGATACGTCTACCGCTGTAACAACTGTTTGATATGTCTACCGCCGTACCAACGGTGTTTGATATGTCTACCTCCGTAACACCAGTGTTTGATATGTCTACCGCCGTACCAACAGTGTTTGATATGTCTACTGCCGTACCAACAGTGTTTGATACGTCTACCGCTGTAACAACTGTTTGATATGTCTACCGCCGTACCAACGGTGTTTGATATGTCTACCTCCGTAACACCAGTGTTTGATACGTCTACCGCTGTAACAACTGTTTGATATGTCTACCTCCGTAACACCAGTGTTTGATATGTCTACCTCCGTAACACCAGTGTTTGATACGTCTACCGCTGTAACAACTGTTTGATATGTCTACCGCCGTACCAACAGTGTTTGATATGTCTACCTCCGTAACACCAGTGTTTGATATGTCTACCGCCGTACCAACAGTGTTTGATATGTCTACCGCTGTAACAACAGTGTATGTCTACCGCCACTTGTTTGATATCAACAGTGTTTGACGTCTAGCGTCCGCCGTAACTACCGCCGATACCAGTGTTTGATATGTCTATCGCTGTAAACAGTGTTTGATACGTCTACCGCCGTAAAACACTGTTTTATACGTCTACCTCCGTAACAATAGTGTGTGATACGTCTACCTCCGTAACAACAGTGTGTGTATCACTGCCGAGATGTCAGGGAGTCAAACTGACAGAATATACTCCCCGCACAAAACAGGTAAAATCAGACGTTAAACAGAGTGAACATTACGCGAATAAGTCATGCATTGGCAGTTCACTGTCATAATACTCACTGTGTGTATATCGTCAGATTTGTGTCTCTTCCGCAGCGCGTCCCCTTGAGTACTGTCAGTCTGTCAGCTGAGAGACTATCAACGGGACATAATCACCGAGACTACAACGTAGGCACAACGTTGGTCATCGTACAGCGACGTAGACACAATGTAGTCCTTGTTGCAATGAACGGGTTATCCTCAAATCGACAACAACGTAGTCAGGGGCAACGCTGTCTATATAATATATATATCGATTTATACGTGGGTTCAACGTTTAACTATTGCGAAATAACCAACTAACAATATAGAAACATCATTCGTGTTATAATTTGAAAAGTATTATGTAAATGAACCAGATATAGTTATTAATATGTGCATTATTTCAAAGGGTGTTTGTCGGTTGTGCAGTGTATGTTCGGATGAATATTCAACGAGCCGTGTGTAAAATGTGTAAGTGTGGTGGACAAGAGTACGAGACGGCTATAAATAGACCACGACTCGAAGGCGTTTCGTTGTACACATAAAGGGTGCTTTTACACAGTTTATGTCTTGCTGCCAAGTTCGCTGTATAAACAAGATCGTGTTTACAAGAAAACTGATTGTAAATGTCACTTCGAAACGTATCCGAATATGTAAGACTACTATTCTATGTAACTGATATGGAACTGGGGCGTTAAAGGGCCACTGATCAGAGCGATTAATGTTTCTCGCCAACAGTCTAATGACGAAACCGAGCTGCAAGGTGGCCGGTACCTGCTCCCCGACCGTGACAGACGCAGGGTCTTGGCTTCTGTCCACCTTGGCAAAATTTCAACCTAAACAGAGGGACATGAGGAAGGGTGGATCACAGCGTGCGTGTGTGTGTGTGTGTGCGTGCGTGCGTGCGTGTGTGTGTGTCTTTTAGCCATTGTCTTTCGACCATGCCATGGCCATACTAGCGGACCTAAGGAAACAGTATCTTGGAATATCAATACAACTTGGTCACTAGGACAGAATACGGATATTCCTGTCTATAAGGTTAGGTCCCTTATTGCCCACAGTTCCAAACTGCCTACACCCCAAACTGTCAACAAAAACATTGTAGGCAGTGGGAAATGATTTTTTGCCCTGTAGAATAATGGAACAGCCCAATTATCAATGAAGCAGGGGTGTGTCGTTTGGAGTAAGGTAGTAGTAGTTATTTGCTTTATTTAATGTCGCACGCACAACTAAGGTATTTCGGCGACGGGGTAGTACACTTATTAAGAAATGGGGGGAACAAAAAATATAAATTTTGAAAGAGTGGTGTTACTACCAAAAAAACCCACCCCAACAACTGAGTATTAAGGGACATTTGAATGGGATACCGAATTAAAAAGGTAAAAAACTATGAAATAGGTAGAGTATAAGAGATTTTGAATTTAATATAGATGTGGTGTAGTAAATGGTTATTGTTATTGTATTTTTTAACCAACCCATGTTTAAGTGAATAATGATAAATATTAAAAAAGGTTACAACATGAACTTGATAAAAAGTGAGAACTGATTTAAAAAGTTAAAAGACCCCTAAAACACCCATAAAACAATCCTATAATCTCACGGCAAACTCCAGTATCTTCACAGCAGAACTCGCAGCCATAGTTCAGGCCTTGCAAACAACATTTGACCAAACAAACACTACCATCTGCATTTTTACGGATTCCTTAAGCTCCATACAGGCTCTCAAAAATTACTCTACAACAAAAAGACCAGATCTAATAAATAACATATACAGAATAATACTATACCACCAAAACAAAAATAATCAAATACATTTTATCTGGGTCCCGTCACATATCGGAGTCCATGGCAACGAAATGGACATCCTTGTCAGTTGTGTGTTCTGTGAAACCAGTAAACGACTGTAAAACCAGTAAAAGACTGTAAAATCAGTAAAAGACTGTAAACTTATCAATTTTTCATGATATATCCATGTCTCCATGTAAAGACAGAGAATTCTCAGAATGAATAAACCAACCAACACTTGTTATTTTTAAAACTTCTGTATGCAGAGTGGGAAGACACCATAGAACAGGTCAGTTCATTAACCAAGTAACTGGTCAAGTTCATTTTAGCAGGGGTAGAACAGGTCATATCGGTGTATTCCCATTAACTTCACTTCCTGATCACTGGACCCTATCATGTTGTTTTAACCTGTAGACAGTTTGGAACAGTAGGCAGTATGGGAATACACCGTGTAAAACCAATTATACAACCACACCAACGATTATACTGATATTGTCTTATTGGAATATACGAACGATGAAGACATGATGTTGATTATATACGAATCAGTACAGAACGTATGTACAGATGGATGAATATGTACATGTTACGTATGTACATGTGTCCAATGATAAACTATTTACCTACAGTATTACCTACAGCGAACCAACCAACTAAACAGTGTTTCAGTTATATCACGGCTTCACTGGAAGTCATCACGTGGCTTATTTCACAAACGTTTTGAGAGTAGGCTATATATCATATATACACCTGAAATATACATTGGTTACTTAGGTAATTGGTAGAATACGTTAAATCAGGATGTTGAGTTGCTGAAAGAGAAGCCCTTCGTGGGGTATTTAGACGACGTGTTTTTTTACTCTTCCAGCCTTTTACAATGATTCGATGACCACCTCTAATGTGGCAAGAAACATGGAAGTAGTTGGGACACCTGTGTGTTTAGACAATAACAGAACTGGGAAGATTCACTGATGTCACAGTTCATACCACTTCACACTATATTAAAGTAAATATATATGCAATGCTATTTTGATACAATAGAAAGTTTTCATCCGTGATCAGGACCAGACTGCATGATACTGAGTGAATATGGTTTTAAGCCACCTTTAGCAATGTTGCAGCAATCACGGGGGAGGTATCTTTTCTGGAATTCACACAGATAAATGTTTTATTTCCCCTTCAATTCCCTATAAACCCTGCACAATATCGTGTTTCGCTGATCAAATATCAAGATGAATTTGTGAATCAATTAATCGTTTTAACTCAGCTGAACACAATTACATGAAGATACTTGTTTTCATAACACCCTGTTGTTTCGCTTGCAGGTAGCCTTATCAAGCAGATGGGCAATGCCAGCTGCATAGTACAAAATCAGCTGTTTTAACTGATCAGTGTCCGGAAATACATATTGACAGTGATGGATAATCATACATATTTCTATTTACATGAATGTACAATTACACACATATAGATATAGACATGGAATGATGATCTTGACACAATGAAAGGTGAAATAAGTAGACAAGAGCAAAACATCTATGTCTAGCTTGATTTTGAGAAGCTCAGTATCGCATAAATACGATTAGTCTGTGAAGTAAAGCCGTTTCTAATCTACAATTCATGGCCCTATCAGTCCAATGGTCCTATCCTAGAGTGAGAATTATTGATGGACGTGGCGTCATCACTAACTGTGGGAAGCAAAGCATCGTGGTACAGGACCCAGATTGTACTTCCTGCCTTGTGTCCGCTAGGGTCAGACCCTCGTGATCCCAGCACAAGGTCGATGGTTAGAGACAGTATGTATCAATATTAATAATGACATTTTTTGACGGTTGTACGATTGAGAGATGACTGGGGAGGGGTTCAGTCTGGATCTAGGTTCTATGAGGAGAAAAGACAGAAGCTCAGCCTCGATGTATGCTCCATGATGGGTTAAAGAGAAGAGTCTCGGTCTAGGTTCTGCCTAATCTAGGGGTATGAGGGGAGAAGTTCAGTCTGAACCTACGTTCTATGAAGGGTAAAGAGGTTCATTCTGGATCTTGGCTCTATGGTATCTCGACTCTTGGGGAAGGGTCCTGGATATAGCATCGATTATTTGTAAAATATGAATAGTTCAATCTGGGCCCAGGCTTTTGAGGAGAAGAGGGAGATGGTGTAAAGGGTGAGGAGTATAGCCTACATCCAGTTTATGATGAGGTGAAGGAGTGCAACTGAAATGTAGGTTCTCTTCAGGGTCAGTGGGAGTGGTGCAGCCTATCTCAAGGCTATATAAGAGGTAAAGGGGGGGATGATTGCAGCCTGTGGTGGGTTAATCCATCAGGCAATTTGTGCAACCTGCTCTTATCAACTGTATAGAGGGGCACAATCCAGTCTAGGCCGTTAGACGGCATGGCTTCAAATTCAAATGCTGTATAGTGAGGATGGCATCAAAGCATGCATTTTGACAATTAAGACTGTATACTGAATCAAATACAACATTCTGTATGCACGCACTACAAGAAAAAATGTCAATACATTGACATGCCAAAAATGCAATAAAACTCATTGTCCAAATGTTTGCCCTCCAGTCGTTCCTGGCGCCACTGTTACTGAGATCGTCTTTCACAAAGTTCTGGCAATGTCAAAGTTTTGTTGTAAGAGACATCTTAAACGACGATCCCATGTCAATGTCCCTCGGTGCGCACGATTTCACCCAATGGTGAACTAGAACTCCATTGTTTACAGGCTGCCTTGATATAGCTATTATACTACTGGTGAAACAAGCTATATACTCAGTGCTGATATTCTCGTTTTGGACGCGTCTCTAACGTGAATGCCTGTATCCATACAACAATGGATCAAAATCTATCACTTGGAATGAATATCTATGCAGACTCTTTGAAAGCAGGCAGCAGATTCTTGATGGCATGAGTTAAATCTTCCATCGCTTCAGAGTTTAACTTCCGACATTGCGAGCAACACACTGCCTTACATTCCCGACATTCGTGCCTTGCATGGCGGTGGCTGAACTCGTTACATTTGCGGTTGATGATAGTCTGGAAGTCTTCCTGGAGATTCCCGGAAGCGGTCATGCAGCTTTCCAGCATCGGACTGACAAGGCCCTCCATCAACACCAACCGCCGCTTAAAGAACTCGAGAGCAGTCTTGTCGTTAAGATCTTTGAATTCCTCCAGGTGTTGGAGCCCATTGTTGTCACTGTATTCTACGTAGACAGCCTGATCAAGGCATTCCCTCAGCACATCATCAAAGCCATACTTGTCTGCTATATTCATGAAATGTACCAACTTAGACCTGGGTAAAGTTTTCACGTTCAGTTTCAGATACGTTGTGACAAACGTACGACAGCGTACTTTAAGCGACGTAATATCGTATTCCTCCGCCAATGGAAGTAGTACGTCGATATTGTCATCTGTGAGCGGGTTGAAGATGGAGGGGTAGATGCATCGAAGCAGCTCTGTCATGTCAGCGTATGTCTTCCCGGGTAGGGGCACTTCTGATAACGTTTTTTCTTTGAATTCTCCAAAGAACATTCTTTCGAAGACTTGAGATGCAAGTGAAAGTACAGTTTTGTTCACATGTAGCTTTTTCCCCTCGACTACCAGCGCCACATCACTTGTAAGGGATGGCTCGGAAAACGTGATCTCTGAATTCTCCATGTTCACTTCTGTAACGAGCAGTTTTACATTAGCATTTATACCTAAACTTATGTACAAAAGAAAGTACACACCTGGTGCTTTGGGAATATTTCCCCCAACACAAAGTGAATAGTTTGGAAAGTGTTTTTATAGAGGCATACAAGTCACAAACATTGTGTATCTATTGCTAAAGCATAACGTATCCTTTACAGTGATGTGAGTGGAATTTCATGGAAATCGTTATTTTGTAGATTTGCACGTGCATTTTATGCACCCAATTTTGAAGCACCAGTCGGTTGAAATTGTTAGTGTTATGCCTGTTGAAGGCAACGGAGCAAGAACGAGACCTTGGAATGTCGCAGATGTCGAACAGCCACATTATCATAACGTAACAAAGCTGTACTAAGCAGACTATCATCATATTGACGAGACTTGTCAACCACACTAGCCAGACATCTGATAGTCCCAGAACTGGAAGACCGAGAGTGACCACCCCGCAAGATGACCGTCAGTTGCGCAGTTTCCATCTACTCAGCCGGATGTTCACAGTGACGCTACAACAGGAACACAGTGATGAGACGACTGCACGCTGTGGACATCCGTGTCTATCGGCATGTCATGAAACCGTCGACAGCGACCGAATCGTCTATGCCCGACTCAGAACATTGTTGCTGATGGTGCATTTGCTAACAATGTCTGGTGTTTTGGCAACACTTACACAGTGTTGCAAAGATGCTGGCGCCGCAACACCATGTCTGGCTACAGCCATACGCGTAACAAAAGTCGTTCACTCCTGTCGTTGTTTGATGTGTCTCCTGTCCGTAGTGTTTGATATGTCTCTTGTCGTAACAAAGGTCGTTCATATGTCTCCTCTCGTAACAACAGTGTTTCATGTCTCCTGTCGTAAAACCGCCCGCCGTAGCAAACCGCAGTAACACAAGTGTTTGACATATCTACCGCAGTAACACAAGTGTTTGATGTGTCTACCGCCGTAAAAACAGTGTTTGACATGTCTAGTGCCGTAACAGCTGTTTGATATGTCTACCACCGCAACAACAGTGTTTGATATGTCTACCACCGCAACAACAGTGTTTGATATGTCTACCGCCGTAACAACTATTTGATATGTCTGCCGCCGTAACAACAGTGTTTGATATGTCTGCCGCCGTAACAACAGTGTTTGATATGTCTACCGCCGTAACAACAGTGTTTGATATGTCTACCGCCGTAACAATTACTTGATATGTCTACCGCCGTAACAACAGTGTTTGATATGTCTACTGCCGTAACAATTACTTGATATGTCTACCGCCGTAACAACAGTGTTTCATATGTCTACCGCCGTAACAACAGAGTTTGATATATCTACCGCCGTAACGACAATTACTTGCCGTAACAACAGTGTTTAATATGTCTACCGCCGTAACAATTACTTGATATGTCTACCGCCGTAACAACAATGTTCGATATGTCTACCGCTGTAACAACAGTGTTTGATACGTCTACCGCCGTAACAACAGTGTTTGATATGTCTGCCGTTGCCACAACATTGTTTGATACGTCTACCGCTGTAACAACTGTTTGATACGTCTACCTCCGTAACAACGGTGTGTGATACGTCTACCTCCGTAACAACAGTGTCGAGATGTCAGGGACAACAGTGTCAAAGTGACAGAAGATATTCCCCGCCCAAAACAGGTAAAATCAGACGTTAAACAGAGTGAACATTACTCTACATGAATAAATGCATGTATTGGCAGTTCACTGTCATAATGTCATAATACTCACTGTGTGTGTATCATCAGATTTGTGTCTCTTCCGCAGCGCGTCCCCCTGACTACTGTCAGCCAGTCAGTTGAGAGGCAATCAACGGGAGAGCGTCACCGGCACTAGTACAACGTAGACACAACGTTGGTCATCGGAAAGCGACGTAGACACAACGTTGGTCATCGTAAAGCGACGTAGGTTACAACGTAGTTCTTGTTGCAATCAACGGGTAATCGTCAACTTAGAGACAACAACGGAGTCAGGGGCAACACTATCTATTTATAGCAAGCAGGAGCTCTACCAACTGAATCAATACTTGCAAATATTGCTAGAGTTACCTGTTCTTGATATGAGACACGGGCTATATATATCGACTTCTTCGTGCGTACAACGTTTAACTATTTCGAAATAACCAACTAACAATATAGAAACATCATTCGTGTTATAATTTGAAAAGTATTGTGTCAATGAACCAGATATAGTTATTAATATGTGTGCATTATTTCAAAGGGTGTTTGTCGGTTGTGCAGTGTATGTTCCGATGGATATTCAACGAGCCGTGTGTAAAATGTAAGTGTGGTGCACAGGCCCTCGTGTCTTTGCGAAGATTAAAGATTAAAAAAATATTATTTTTTTAGATGACCCCCCAACTCGAAATGCTACACAGTACAATATGTTATGGGTGATGAAACATATTTTGCAAATATAATGTACAGTTTTAGATAGTGATGAGTATACTTGGTGTAATTAGTTTTAGCTTGGGGTGAGGGGCCTTCGCTTGAGCGAGAAATTGTTATGTAACTAGTGGTACAGCTTGGGGTTTGATGAATTCAGCTTTGGTCAGTTAATTGAATGTGGCCAGCCAGCTTATAGGGAGAAGCTCGGTGATTCTGATCTAGTTGGGATGTTTCTTGAGGACGGGATTTTTGCCAGTTGTGGTTGTACCCATAATGTGAATTCACAAACTTGCACCCACGTCGGGACTGTGTCAAATATGGAAACTAGGAAATCATGGTGTACAGGAAGGATTTAAACATGAGGTGACTATGCCATATTGCTTTGCCCATAATATATCTAAGACAATTCCCTTTCCCATTTGTAAATTGGTTACCTGTATCAGCCTTCTGTTAGGATAGTATAAATAAATCTTCCTCAATTAGTCAGATTGTTGTGTGATCCATTTTCATTGTTACGGGTGAATTGGTGTCATATACCCCTTTATCATACCTTCACTCGTAACAATACATTATGACAAGTGAACTATATCTGTGAACTTTGTAATCATAACCTTAATGAAGATGAGAACCGTGTATTTTTTGTTTGTGAAAAGTATAATCAAGCCAGAACTCTATATCTACAGAAGCTACAATCAGTCGACAGAGACCCACTAACCATTCAGGCAATTTTCATGTCACAAAATAGTAATGTACAGCATCTAACAGCTATCTATCTCAATGAGATGTTCAAAATAAGATCAATATGAAACTCAAATGTTTATGATCACGTGTAATTTAAATTGTATTTGTCAACTGTATCATAGGCCTGATCGCCCAAATACTACTGAATAAACTTCTCTCATTATGACAAGGCCGGACACAATGGTATACCCCACCCGCTTGCTCTGCCGATCGCTACGCTACCCTCGCATGTAATAGATTAAAACTTAATGTAAACATAATCATGGATGATATTGGCCCATCGAGCACCAATCATAAAACGTACCAATTCTTTTTACTTCTGCAAGTCGATTGAAACCCGATTTTGACGCTTAACTAAACGATCTTGACACAAATGATGACGATATGTCGAAGCAAGCCTTGCATGCGGTGGTAGGGTATCGATGGGCAAAGCAGGCGGGTAGGGTACACCGAAGTGCCGGCCTTGTCATAATGCATTGTACTGTGAAGCATTTCGAGTCAGGGGTCAACTCAAATGTTTTATTTTTTTTAACATCTTTAATCCTCGCAAAGACACGAGGGCCCGTGGTGTGATGGACAAGAGTGCGAGCTGGCTATAAATAGACCACGACTCGAAGGTGTTTCGTTGTACACATAAAGGGTGCTTTTACGCAGTTCATGTCTTGTGCCAAGTTAGCTGTATAAACAAAATCGCGTTTACAAGAAAAACGAATGTAAATGTCACTTCGAAACGTATGTAAGAAAGACTACTTTTCTATGTAACTGTGCGCACGCGTGCGTGCGTGTGTGTGCGTGCTGGTGCGTGCGTCTTTTTACCTTTAATAAAAAATTGTTTTTCGTCCGTGACATGGCCATACTAGCGGACCTAAGGAGAGAGTATCTAGAAAATCCCTATGCAACTCTGTATCACTATGACAGAATACGAATATTCCTCTTTTCGGAATACACATGACACATGAACGCTTATACTGATAATGTTTTATTGGAATATACGAACAATGAAGACATGATGTTGGTTATATACGAATCAGTACAGAACGTATGTACAGATGGATGAATATAGATATATTACGTATGTACATGTGTCCAATGATACCTACCTACAGTATTACCTACAGCGAACCAACCAACTAAACAGTATTTCAGTTATATCACGGCTTCACTGGAAGTCATCACGTGGCTCATTTCACAAACGTTTAGAGAGTAGGCTTTATATCATATATACACCTGAAATATACATTGGTTACTTAGGTAATTGGTAGAATACGTTAAATCAAGGTGTTGAGTTGCTGAAAGAGAAGCCCTTCGTGGGGTATTTAGACGACGTGTTATTTTACTCTTCCAGCCTTTTTTCAATGATCCGATGACCACCTCTAATGTGGCAGGAAACATGGAAGTAGGAGGGAAATCTGTGTGTTTAGACAATACCAGAGCTTGGAAGATTCACTGATGTCACAGTTCATACCCTCTCACACTATGTTAAAGTATATATGTACGCAGTGCTATTTTGATATCATAAAGAGGTTTTACCCGTGAGTGAGTATGGCTTTACACCACCTTCAGCAATATTACAGCAACCACGGCGGATGGCTTTTTGTTTGGAACTCACACAGATATATAATTCGTTTCAAAAGTTTAGACTCACTTAAAACATTCACTATATGTTATGTACATATATATGGTTACATCGAGGATGAATTTCTCCACTAACTTGGGGGAACCAACTGTTAACCTCGTGCAGATGTATTCCACGAGGATCATGCATCAAATTGCTGAAAAGCATGTGCAAATATCGTGCATGTGAACAGCTGCGTTCTGGTGTTAAGTTTTGTTAAGAATTCGCCAATTTTCACTGATTTTTATCATTTACTGAACTCATGACAATAATGTTTTCAACATCACGAATTTGTTTTACAATACATGAGTTCATGTGTAAACAGTACCTCTAAACAGTATGAAATATTTGGCAAAATCTAGTTTAGAACAGTACCCTGAAGTAAGTGTCTATATTTACACAAGTGAACTTTTGAAACGAAGTATATATTTCTCATATTTCTCCTTAAATTACCTAAAATCCCTGCACACTGTCGTGTATCAGGATGAATTGGTCATTCAATGAATCGTTTCAACCCTTCTGAACACAATTACATGAAGATACTTGTTTTCATAACAACCTGTTGTTTCGCTTGTAGGCGGCATTATCAAAGAGATAGGTAAAGATCTGCATAACACAAAATCAAAAATGTTTTAACTGATATTTGTGTTCTGTCCACGAATACATATTGACAATGATGGAAATTATTTCTATTTACATGAATGTACAATTACAAACATATAAATATACACATGGAATGGTGATTTTTACACAATGATAGGTGAAATAAATAGACAAGTAGACAAGAACAAAACATTTACGTCCAGCTTGCTTTTGCAAAGCTCAGTTAAGCGTAAATACGATTAGTCTGTGAAGTAAAGCCGTTTCTAATCTACAATTCATGGACCTGCGCTACAGTGAGAATTCCTGATGTACGTGACGTCATCACTAGCTGTGGGAAGCAAAGCATCGTGGTACAGGACCCGGATTGTACTTCCTGCCTTGTCTCCGCCAGGTTCAAACCCTCGAGATCCCAGCACAAGGTCGATGGTTAGAGAAAGTATGTATGATATTTGTTTTGACGGTTGTACGATTGAGAGATGACTGGGGAGGGGTTCAGTCTGGATCTAGGTTCTATGAGGAGAAAAGACAAAAGTTCAGCCTCGATTTATGCTCCATGATGGGTTAAAAGGGAAGAGTCTGGATCTAGGTTCTGTAACGGGTATGAGAGGAGTTCAGCCTAGATCTAGGTTCTGTAAGGGGTATGAGGGGAGAAGTTCAGTCTGAACCTACGTTCTATGAAGGGGAAAGGGGAAGAGTTCATTCTGGATCTTGGCTCTACAGGGGTTTTAGGAGGAGGAGTTCAGTTTGTATCTCGACTCTATAAGGGGGAAGGGTTGATCCTGGATATAGCATCGATTATTTGTAAAATATGAATAGTTCAATCTGGGCCCAGGCTTTTGAGGAGAAGAGGGAGATGGTGTAAAGGGTGAGGAGTAAAGCCTACATCCAGTTTATGATGAGGTGAAGGAGTGCAACTGAAATGTAGGTTCTCTTCAGGGTCAGTGGGAGTGGTGCAGCCTATCTCAAGGCTATATATGAGGTAAAGGGGGGGATGACTGCAGCCTGTGGTGGGTTTATCCATCAGGCATAGGTTCTATGAGGAGAAAAGACAAAAGTTCAGCCTCGATTTATGCTCCATGATGGGTTAAAAGGGAAGAGTCTGGATCTAGGTTCTGTAAGGGGTATGAGAGGAGTTCAGCTTTGTTCTAGGTTCTGTTAGGGGTATGAGAGGAGTTCAGCTGGATCTAGGTTATGTTAGGGGTATGAGAGGAGTTCAGCTTGGATCTAGGTTCTGTAAGGGGTATGAAGTTCAACTTCGACCTATGCTCTATGATGGGTAAGAGGGGAAGAGTCTGGATCAAGGTTCTATGTGGGGTGAAAGTCGGGGAACAGTCTGGATCTAGGTTTCATGATGGGTAAAGGGGGAGTTCAGTCTAGATCTAAGCTCTTTGAAGGATAAAGGGGAAGAGTTCAGTCTAGATCTAGGCTTTATGAAGGGTAAAGGGGAAGAGTTCAAACCGGCTATGTACGAGGTAAAGGGGGAATGATTGCAGCCTGTGGTGGGTGTGTCCCTCAGGCAACCTGGGCAACCTGCTCTTATTAATTGTACAGGGCGGCACAATCTAATCTAAGCCGTTGGACGGCATGGCTTCATATTCAAAGGCTGTAAACTGAGAATGGCACCCAAGCCCGCATCTTGATAATTAAG